AATGGTGGCTGGTTTTTTTCCATAGAGAAGCCATCAGGATTTATGTGAAGTTTGAGATTCATATTGAGTGAATTTCGTGGAAGGAAGGATGAGGCTGGCGCTATATTTTGATTTGCGTAATATAAGAGTTTAGCGTAGCACCACTGATTGGTAACTCAATCCACTGTCTGACATATTTGATAATGATATCACCAATACTATCAAAATTCTCAACCACCCAAGCGGGAGAGGTTCCAAAAACTTTTAAACGAGACGATGATTCAATACTGTGAATCTTGCTCGTCGCCGTGTTGATAAGTGCTGAAAGATCGGAGATCGGTTGTTTATTGTCTAAAGTAAAATTAAAATGTCATCCGAAATAACGGAAAGCTTTTCGAATGCCACAATTCCATGGATGCCGTAAAGTAGTCACAAAGAAAATTTATTTGTTTACTTGCTGAAATCAAAACGTGCCATTACCAACATGCCAATCATATGAAGAAATAATTCTGAAACTATTTCGTTTCAATCGTAAACGAACATTGGTAAAGTGAAATGTTCGTGTTTTTGATTCGGCTGCTAAACGGATACAATAAGTTACCAAACCACAGCGATTAAAAAAAATCCACGCTTGAAATTGCTTTCAAATCTTTGCATTTACAACATTTGTATAGTGTTATCATGTTAGTTATTAGGTAGAAGCGCAAAGCGCATTTTTTTTCTTATCATTTGAAAAGGTGTGTAAGCGGACTGTCTAATTCAAAGGAATCTAATTCAGCTAGCTTAAAGTCCAATTCGAATTCATTCGCTTCAAATCAAATCTGGCTAATTTCATCCAGTTTCATTATTCGCAAAACTGGACTAGATATTTCCTTAACACACTTGAAAGCATCACGTAACGGGATTCAACTTTGCATTCCAAAACTTGCCAGAATTTTGATACTTATCTTTCCCAAGATTTGAACAGATAATAACAAGATTTTGTGTTTATGGAATATTGCATAAAGTAAAACTAACCGGCTGCAGTACACATATTATCAAAGCGAATTCTAAATTCCAAATCCTTTATGATCTCAACTCACTTCACTACGACTTAATCAAAAAATCGCTGATCTTGATTAGCTTAAATTTATTACATATTGTTCTTATAATTTGACATCTATGCCACTTACTTATTAAAAACTTCATTTCCTCATCTTGCGGTTGTTACCCTTTCATGCTTTGTTGATGTTGCTGCATTCTTTTTTTTCGTCATAGACCTTTAAGTACCATAATTGAATTTGATAAAGCGATACATTGCCCAATATCTCTGCTTATAATTTCCATATGGGTAGTTAGCTTACTGATCTATATTTGTATTAGTTTGAATGTATCTTATCTTGTATTTAATAGCTCAAATCTCGATCGAAATGATATCCTTTTCATTGGTGCCGTGATCATCAAATTGCTATTATATGGATGTAATTAGTCTTCTTATAAACTCAATAATCAGGCCACTGAAAATTATTAACAACAATTGCTTGCGGCCGCTGGTTGGTAGAATCGCCCAAGGGACTGCTGCTATGACAGATCCTTTGCGCGCCTCTGCTTTTTCACACGGTAATTCATCAAAAGAGAAGTTAGCAGTTCAGAAACAAGTTGTAAAAGTATATAATTTAGATCCTGTTGTTTAATCCTACTGTACAGAATTTATCCGTATTCATTCCAGCGTTGCCAGATCGGCCTTTTTCTGGCAATTTTTTCCAACTAGGCCTTTTTCACAGTGAAGTGAAGTTGCCTGGAAAACTTCTTTTTGGCCTACGACTTAGATTTGGCCTTTTTAAGCGAAAATTTAAAATGCCTAAAAAGAAAGAGTAATTACAAAATTTATAGAATTTAGTAAGTTACTGCAGAGTATTACCCAAATCTCAAATATTATCATCTAACCTAACTATTTGCAAAGGAGTTTTTTTTGAAGATTAGGTAAGTTTCTTATTTACGTTCAGACAGACGCTCCAACTGAAAATTTAAATTTAGAAGTTTCTAAAATATTCCCGTGAAGTTTTTGAATTTTGTCCATCCGCACTAAAATAAAATGCCTATGAAGGATGCTAAAAACCACAAAAGTAATTTCTTAAAGCCCTGTGCATGTGATAAACCTTGAATAATGAAGCATAACTTTATCCATTACATCCCTTATCCCTTTATCCCAATTGAAGAGAAAATTTTATTTTATCTTGATATATTTATTGCATTATTTTATAGGATTTTATAAAATGCGAAAAATCTGCTATAAAGAAGATTTAGATAGCAAAGACACCTGAATACGTTGGTTTAAACGCTCAGGTTGAACTTGAATGTTCTTTGTTGTAATTCACACGCGAAAGATTAAATTGCTTTGTGAAAGATTTGCACTTTCGCAAAGCAATTTAACAGAAAACTTCATGTTGTAACAAGGAGTGAAGCATATTTTCGTTGCAAATGAAATTTTTGCCTGTATTTTTCTACTGTTGCATTGCCGATACATTTCTCATGACCATAAAAACACCTGATACTATGATGTTGATTTGCAGCTTTTTTTGAACCGATTTTTTCGAAATTCATCGAAAACAAATTTGAAATAATTTGTATTTCTGAAAAAGTTTATTTTTGTCGCTTACAAGTTGGTGGGTTGGGTTTTTCTATTAAAATAGTATTTTCTACATCTAGAACAGGTCAAATTGCCATGAACTGAATCAACCTATAAACAGCAGCGTCTGAATAGGCAAAACGTAAACAAACAAGATCGGCTAAACAAAATTTGCCCTTGCTCAAGAACCCGGTAACATCAAGGACTAGGGTATCTTTCAAAACAATTTCTTAACCATCTTGCGACATTGCCCACCCCACCCATATCCAGGTATTTTCAAGTTATTGCAGACATGTTAACCATCTCTTTCTTTTCTTCGTGCATTAGTTATTTTAGTTATCCCCCAGCAAATGATATAGAAACTATTTTCGTTGAAGTTTATTTTAAAAAAACAAAAATGGATAATTATTGGAATCTATCACCTTCCAAACCAAAATGGCATCTATTTTCTTGATGAGTTAGGTAAGTTATTGGATTTCTATTCACGAAGCTATGAAAGAATTCTAATACTTAGGGACTTTAATATGGAACCTGGTTCTTCTAACATTTCATGGGAAACTATGATCTCGTAAAATCTGATCCCACTTCTATTTCATACAGATGCTATAAAACTTTTTCTACCGATCAATTTAACGAGGATCTTCAATTTAATTTAGCTAAAATACCTAAAGAAAATGTATCGTACGATGTTTTCAATCAAACTCTGATTTCAATTCTCGATAAACATGCCCCTCTGAAGAAAAAATTAGTAAGAGCAAACAATGCGCCTTTCATGAATAAAGATATAAGAAAATTGATAATGCTGAGATCTAAGGCAAAAAGAGAGCTCAACAAAAATAAAACAGTTTCTAATAGGGAGAGGTACAAACAAGTCAGAAATAGATGTGTTAAATTAATTAGACGCACTAAAAGATGATATTTCGAAAATTTAGATGTTAAATTCGTCAACGATAATAAAAAATTCTGGAAAACTATCCAGCCTTTATTAAATGATAAAAATGCAAAAGCAAATAAAATCATACTGATAGAGAACGACGAAATCCTGTCTGACAGCAAAATAGCTGCACAGACGTTGAACAATCACTTCGTAAATATTACTGAAAGCCTCAATATAGCCCGACCTTTATCTGATAATGTGCAACACGACTGACGTCTGACGAAAGGACAGCCTCGTCACTATTAGATCAATTGAAATGCTTTGAAAAACACCGTAGTATTTTAAAAATCAAGGAAACGTTTGATCAATTTCCTAAGTTTAACTTTGAAAATGTAACTTCCAAGGAGGTAAGAGAGATAATTTACAACCTAAAGGAAGACAAATCAACAGGAGCCGATAACATCCCCCCAAAAGTTCTTAGAGTAGCAATAGACGTTGTCTCTGGACCACTAGCTGAAATATTCAATCGATCTATTTCTGATAAAACGTTTCCCTTTCTTATGAAAATGGCTAATGTGTGCCCTATTTTCAAAAAAGAAGATTCAACTAGTAAAGAGATTTATAAACCAATAAATGTGCTCCCCTCAGCTTCAAAGGAATTTGAGAGAATAATATTCAATCAAATCTACAATTACATCATTGTTAAATTGTTCCCTTTGTGGATTCAGAAAAGGTTATAGCACACAATATGCTTTATTACGACTTTTTGAAGGTCTGAAAAAGTGCCTTGATAAAAAAGATGTGGCTGGTGCAGTGCTCATGGATTTAATAAAAGCATTTGATTGTTTACCCCATATACTTCTACTAGCCAAATTGAAATCTTATGGCTTCAGCGACAACGCAATGGAATTTATGTATAGTTATCTAGATAAAAGAGTACAACGAGTAAAAATAAACTCAGATTTTAGTGATTGGATTGATACAAAGCAAGGAATTCCTCAAGGATCGATCTTAGGCCCTTTGCTTTTCAATATTTACATAAATGATATTTTTCGGCATTTGAACAAAAGCAACTTATGCATCTATGCAGACGATAATACAATTTGGCTGTCAAGTACCGATATGAATGAACTAACTGACGACTTAAAATCGGAAGCCGCTATTCTTAATAAATGGTTTTATGAAAATTTTTTGGTGCTCAATGGCGATAAAAGCAAGCTTATAACATTCAAAGCAAATCGATCCAATTTAGAGCAATCTAAAATTCAAATAAATGGTTCTACTATAATAGAAAGTAAGATTGTTAAACTTTTGAGATTAACACTAGACCATCAACTT